TTAAATAATTGAATAAGATGGGTGGTGCGAAGTGCACTAGTTAGGATATATTAGAATGAACAAACAAGTCTATACATGGCACTATTTACGTCATTGATGTTCCACAACATTTAATATTTAATAACGACTGACATCCGTAATTCCGATAAATTCGACCAATTCCTCTGACAAATTTATTAAAATGATACCATTACCTAACGAGTGCCTTGTTGAAATATTTAAACATCTTCATAAGTATCATATTTGCTTATATTCATGTCTTCTCGTAAATCGTCAATGGTGTAGAAACGTTGTACCTATATTATGGAGCAAACCATCAGCTTGTTTAAAGAGCGGAAAACTTGTTAGAATGTTTCTTTTAGCGTTAAATGCCAAAGAACAAGAACAGTTGATTCCATTTAAATTAATTCTTCCAAATGGATCAAAAACATTATTTGATTATACAAGTTATATTACATTAATTGAATATGACTATTTGTGTAGTGGAGTCGAAGATTGGCTTAAGTATGAAGGATTTGATTCTCTTGATTTATGTGACAGTTCTTATGATTCATTAAGTTTAGTGGCTCAGAGAGCTGTACAACCTATAATTACAATGTTTCTACGGATTGGTAAGAAACTTAACGATTTGCGTATTTGCGACACTAAAGAAATTAAGCTAATGGCAGAGGCGCTTTTTGAGAATAAAACTTTGGATTCATTAGATATTCGAAATAGTGAACTTAGTCTTAACGACGTAAAAGTGTTGGCAGAAGCTCTTTGTAGGAACGACACTCTAACATCTTTAAGTCTTATTAATAACCAACTTGGTGTTGAAGAAGGAAAGGAAATAGCAGAAGCTCTTCGTGGAAACTGTAATCTAACATTTTTAGACATTTCTTATAACGAACTTGGTCCTGAAGGAGGAAAAGCAATTGCAGAAGCACTTTGTAATAACACTAATCTAATTTCCTTAAACATTTCTAATAATAAACTTGGTTTGAAAGGAGGCAAGGCATTTGCAGATGCTCTTCGTCAAAATGCTATCTTAACTTCTTTAAACGTTAGCAATAATTTTAGTAATAACATCAGTGATTTAGACCATTCATTTGATTTTAGAGGAGGGATAGAGCTTGTAGAATCCCTTCGTGAGAATAAAACCTTAATTTCATTAGATTTAGAGGGTAGTCAACTTTGCTTTCAAGGAGGAAAAATATTAGCGGAAGTACTTTGTGAAAATACCACTTTAAAATCCTTAAATGTTAGTAAGAATTTGCTAAGATCCGATGGGGGAGAAGAATTAGCGAAAGCTCTTCATACTAATGCTTCATTAACGTCCTTAAAAATTAGTGATAATGAACTTAATTTGGAGGGAGGAGAAGCATTTGCAAGAGCACTTTGCAAAAATAATACTCTGATCTCCTTAGATATTGGTCGCAATAACATTGGACCTGAAGGAGGAAATACGTTAGCAAGGGCCCTTTGTAGAAATACTACATTAATTTCTCTGAACATTAATGGTAATCAACTTGAGTGTGATGGAGGCAAAGCAATAGCAGAGGCACTTTACGTTAATAATACTTTAACCTACTTGGACCTTAGCTTTAATAAGCTCAATGAAGAAGTAGGTCAATTATTAGCAGAGGTCCTTCGCGAAAACAACGCTTTAACCTTTTTAAATCTTGATACTAATCAACTTAAGGATGGTGGAGGAAATGCACTTGCAATGTCTCTTCGCGAAAACACCACTTTGACCACTCTAAATCTTTCTAGCAATCAACTTAGTTATGATGGGCTCTATGCAATAGCGAAGGCTCTTTGCAAAAATAAAACTCTGACTTCCATAAATCTTCTCTACAATCTTGATATTAATGACATTAAAAAGGGGAAGTCGCTTAAAAAAGCCATTTACAAACACAACATTGTGGTCTTTGTAGATATTTGAAATAATCTGCTTATTTTTACAGTCTCCTGTTTTTTTTTTAAATATTAAATTTAGTTCAAAGAAACAAACCATTCTTTTTAATTCTTGGTTTATTCTGATATAATGTGTTGAAAAGAGATCCTGCTCTTAAATTTTATAACAGCAGTTATTAATTTGAATGGTTTTATGGTTCTAAATTTATAATTGTCGCTGTATGTAGAATTAGGTTCCATATTTGTTTTTTTTTTTAACATTGTATAAATGTATCAAAAAAATAAATTATGTTAGTTTTTGATCAGTGTTACCCAAGGTTAGATTATTAATTATTTAACTTTAATGCGTTCTAATTAGTTTAATAAAATTTGGTAAGAATGATCAAGCCAAAATTATCAACTAGAAATTTCATATGCGAGCCCAATTTTTAACACTAATAATTAACAATATATAAAATCCGAACCTAAAAAGTATGTGAATTTTGTACACAACACGCACAATTTATTTGAATAATTTACAACTTTGTGCACTGTATAGCTTGTTATAGAGTTAAATTATATGGATATATTTGAATATATATACAATGAAATATGTACACAACGAGTTCTATGTACATATATTTAGTACTGTATTTTATTAATAAATTTAGTGCATTACCGTACCATTCCGAAATTAACATCTCTTTTTTGTATGTAGTGCTGGCCAAAATTGCTGTAATGCGGGCATATTTTTGCACAAAGCGGGCCAGGGTGCTTAATTTCGGATCGGTACGGTATTTGGCTCAAAATGTTGTGAATTATAGATTTCTAACAAAAATCGGGAAGCTTTTTTAGAAATGCGTATAGTTTGCAGATTATATATACTGGTATCAATGTAATGATAACATGATGTCACAAAATATTGAAAAAAAACGTTGGATTTCAAATTTATACTTTTTTTTGATAAATAGTTATAACTAGAGATGTGGAGATCATAAGATCCTATATTCATGATCACTTTAAATTTATGAATAAATTCCTTCACTACTATATTTTATTATTCATCGGATAAAAAACAACAAATATGCTTACAATACAATAGCAAACTTGAGGGCTAATAGTGCAGTGGTTGACACTCCTGGTCACAATTGAAAGGTCGCAGGTTCGAATCTAACTGTTGGACAAGGCTCGGCTAGGACACGAGTGTGTTAAAAGAACCTAATAATATAGGTGCCGATAGTCGTCCGTTGATTTCTGCAGAATGATAACTTTGGCCTTAAGAGATGTGAGAGATCCTAAGGTATCTAAGGACCTCAGGATACGGAGGGAGGTAAAAAATATATATATATTTTTTTGCAATAGCAATAATGGATATATAATCCATAAAAAAAAAGAAATTTTCTTTCCTGGCTGCGTCGGAATACTTGCAGGGTTGGTATCTAATAACTCACTATGCTAAAATATTAACTAAACTGCTAACTAAACTACTCTAACACTATAACTATAGTAACCAAACTCTAATATCGGTAACCAGAGCTAAGAGTGGTTAATAACAATAATGTTAGCTTAAGTATCCTTTTCTATTTTCGCCTATGCTTTGTCAATTATCATTACTTTATACGTAAGTACACTTCAGGATAAAGTTGATACAATCCGGTTCATGCAGTATATGATTCCGATATAGTTATACAATTGTTAAATGATTTTTTTTTACGTTTTACAATACTTCTTTTTAAAGCTCGGGTAGCTTAAAGAGTTAATTAACGGATGAATTAATGCTTTTTCTTTTAAAGTTGGTTTCGGACGTCCTAAAAAATTTAAGCATACGGACGTGATTAATATTAAGCGACAATTTTCGGAGTAGTTGTCCGAAAAATCCCAAAGTCCTAAAATGCTCTTTTTGCCAACCCTATTTTGCTTCGCCTTATAATATATATTTGAATCCCCATGAATCTTTTTTTGCTGATAATCATGTGTATCGATCATCGCTGATTGCAGCCAATAAAATTCGAAAAAAACATTGAGACTTCAAATAAAAGTTTTCAGCACAAAATTTTAGCAGAGTATATTTAAATATCGAATGTCGAATAAATAAAAGCCTTCGCTAAATTCTGATCTTTGTGCTCTTTCAATTTGGTGATCGACATACCTGTCTGACGTTAATTCTGTAATTAGTTCAGCATGCTTAAATACTGAAATAACTATTTAACTTATAAAAAATTCGAGGGCAACATACTGTGTAGTTCATGTGTTCTACAATTATTTAATATTTTGTATACCAATTAGATTTCTTTCAATACCTAAGTTAAATCTACATAATTTATGCAGTTTAAAGCAATTTTTAACAACTACAAAAAATAAATAAAAAAGGCAATACATAGAAAGTTTTGTTAGAGTGTAGGACCCCACTATTGAAAATGACCAAAATCCCTTTTTGTTTTAGAGAAGCATAATAACTTTTTAAAAATAAATAGAACCAGGTTATTCCGTACTACTCTAAAATTAAAAGGGATTATGACCATTTTCAATAGCGGGGTCCTATAACTCAGACAATACCTTCTATTCATTATACTCCTTAGTTTTATTTTTTTTAAAGTACTTTAAACTGTATAATAATCTAAAATTTAATAATTAAATAAATTTAAACAGCCAATCATATGAAAGCCGTCCTATGAGTTCCATATGATAAAAGCTAGCAGATGTTCTGCGCCTCTGGCATAAGAACAAATTTTATTACTAGGTGGTGACATTAAATTCACTATCAATTGTTAAAATTTTAATAAAGTAGACGAACAGAAGTCATTAAAAAAATTGTATCGTATAGACCAAAATGATTACTTTATAAACCCACTATTAAATTCTGCCCACTTACTCACGCGAATGTTAAAGCATGAACAAACCCCATTGGAATCTAATCTTTTAACTAATTATTACGTTTGCTACATAAGGTACTTTCACTCAAGTGACGGTAATGCATATAAATTGACGGAAACCCTGTTTAAAATAGGAACTTTATGTACGTACGTATTTTTATTTGTCTGAGTTCTAAAAACAGTAGAATCCAATTCATTCTGGTTTTGAATGCTATTCGCATAAGTGGTATAAAATATACTAACGAAAGAATCCTAATTTAACTTTGAAAATATAAGTTCTAAATTCTTGGGATGTAGCATTAAGGATGAAGGTAATAAAATTTTATCTGAGTGATGAGTATATAACATACCCAAGTATACTCATACATATATTTTAGAAAAAAAACATACCAATTTCTAGGCCCACCAGAAAATGGAACCCAATTATTTTTTACCTCTTTTTCAGGATTCATAAATCTTTCAGGTATAAACTTATCAGCATCATTCCAAAAATTTGTATTTCTTTGAATTTGTCACAAATTCACTGTAATTTTTTTACTCCTTTCAGTATTGATAAATTTATTGGCTTTGTAGGATTACAACCCATTAATTGTACTGCTTGTGGATAAAGGCGAAGTGATTCCATAATTATTACTGATATATATTTTAGTATTTTTTTTTTTTAAACATGAACAATAGTAATTGATTAATAGCTATATATGTAGGTAAATAAAAAATACCTCAAGATTTTCAAAATTTGGTAATTTTGAAGCATTTTCTAAGACTATAATTGCTTCATCTCTAGCTCTTTTTTTGAATATCTTAAAAAAAGTAAATGTAAGTATTTGTGTTTTACCGAAAAAGATTGATACAGTGTTGTAAAAATATTAAAGTTACTGGATATTTTGCTAAATAATAAAAAGTAATACTTAATGTCATTGCAGCAGCTTTATCGATAAAAAGAAATAGACTATGTCATAATATTTAGATTTTATGATAAACGTAACAATTGATGTTGAAATTTCCTTTTTATATTAAGATTTAGAGTTAATAAAAAATATATATGTTATAAGAGAGAATAAATTTAAACAATTTAAGTAAATTTGAGCTTAATTAAATCTGAATATCTGAGTAAATTGATTTTATATAAATCTACACTTTAACTCTAAAATCCCAAATCTCATTCACTCTTACAACATATATAAATTTTAGTTTGTATTTATAGATTAAAATGAGGTTCCAAATTTAATACGTATTAATTAATTTTAGCATAAACAGCTATAATAAATAATAATAAAAATTAATACTTGTAATCATATCCAGCAGTAAAATAAAGAACTATATCATCTTTGAGTTCTTTATTCATATAGTTGTATTCTTTATTGTTAACAGCTTCTAGGATTCTAGACAATAAATCAGTATATTCCTTATCATTTTTAGCTTTAAACATTTCAAGCCAATGTTGTTCAATCATTTAAATAGAAAAATTATTAAACTCTTTAATTAATAAAGAGAGTTTAACATTTGTTTTAAGAGAAAGTAAATTCAAAAATAGAAAAATAAAGAGATAATGTTGTAATATGATGAATAATTTGGCTATATAATTTTATAAAATATAGTTATTCTTTTAAACTATCCAATGCCTTTGTTTAAAACAAGATATTTTTATAGTTAGTAAAATAATACTATTATAAAATATTTTATTTTAATCCAATTAAAGATGTTACTGTAGCTTATCAAGTAATTTTAATTATATTAAAAATAGAATTCTAAAAAATTTATAAATTATCAAAATTATATTAGTACACACTTGCATATGATATATAAAATCCAATTTTTCTACTACTTATAATAATACATTGCATTAATAAAAATACATCTATCAAAATATCTATCTATTAGTTTAACAAGTTTATAAAGTTATTAGTGCATTCTCTAACTATTTTAAAAAAAATACTTAATTAGGTGTTATTGTTGCTATTATTCATTTTATAACCATTACTTTAAAATAAATATACTAATTAAAATGATTGAAATTTTTAGTTATATTATTTAAAATTTAAAGAAAAAAGATAATTACATCTTTTTCAAAAAAACTTTTGCTAAATGTTTTTTAGCAAAATCAATCTTTGAAAAGATATGTATTTAATAAAATAATATAATAATAATATAAATCAATAACTTTTTAAAAAATAAATTAGCAATTTAGAATTAGAGTTCTGTAGCCTAGTGGTCTAAACATCTTGCCCTTTACATACAATATATACAATTCAATTTTAGCTGAAGGCAAAAACTCTGTAATCTACAGAAGCATATAAATATATATAAAACCTTGTAGTTAAGTCTATATAAATAAAAAATTGATATATAAAAAAGTTTTTGGAAAAAAGTTTTCAGAAAGAAGTTTTCCAATATAAAGAGCTAGTGCTTAATGCAAGAGAAGTGATAAATATATTAGAAATAGAGAGAAGGTGCACTAGCAGGTGATATAGTAAACATAAAAAAAAAACTATAAAAAAGAAATAGACTTATTAAAATTTGAATACTTCTGACACCAAATCAATTCTAGTAAATACAAGATCTACTAAAATTAGATAAATCTAAAGAGTAATATTAGTACTATACTTAGTAAGTTTATGTCAAAGATAAATTTGAAGAACTATAAATACTTAATAACATCCAATAAGATAATACTTAGATATAAATAGTAATTAAATATCTCTAACTTGTTTTGTCTTAATAATAGTAATATATCATATTCCAGATATATGCAATAAGTATTAAAAATCAGAAAGTTTAAATAGAAGCCTTATAGTTGGGTCTCAGATATAGCATCTAGTGGATAACCTATAGATGAAATCCTTAATTAGATAATGACTAAAGTTATATATATGACTAGTTATACTTTTATTAATATACATTGTATATAAACATGTAATTATACATTATTAATAATAAAAAGACATATAGACAAAATTATCTTTGAAAAAAAAGTAAATTAGCAATCCAAAATATAAAAAAGCAGTAATTTATACCACTTTTAGAGAAAAATAATTTAGCATGTTTAGTATTATTTATAAGAACTATTTAAGAGAAAGCAAAATAAATCTAATCTATATATATAGATTAACTTTTATGAATAGTGACAGAATTTAATAATAATAAAAATTTATAAACTTTTATTAAACTAATTTATTAGAATCTGATTCAAAAATAAGCTTTTGAATTTCATATTATCTTTTAACACAAAGCAATAATAATAATAATTTAAAGATAAAAACATTAAAAATAAAATTTAATTTTTTAGAAAAGTTATAAATTCTATGTATAAATCTGGATAAAAGAAATTAAATTACAAAAAATATAAAAATCTTATATAGCCAAAGGTTCATTTTGTAAAAGATGCTAAAATGAGAAATAACTTTAATAATTTAATGAGTAATATATAAATTTTTTTCTTATTGCTTAAGCTTTTAACCTGAATTTAATTACTAAAATCTTTTACATATATTATATTTAAAATTTAATGCTATTAATTGAACCAATTAAACCAATTAAACAGATTTCAATTAGTTTGGTTTCTGGGTCTAGTTAATCCAACTAATAATACTATCTAAATAGTTATTAATATCTAATTGTAATAATAATGCAAATACTTCTAAATTATGTTAAACCTAAACAATAATTTGCATTTATTAAACATACATAAAGTACTATCATTAGTAATAAGTAGAAATATGCAAATACATATTTTTTGCTTTGCATTGCATAATGCAGTAAAATATAATATATAACATTATGAATTCATGATATTCATAAAAATCAAAAAGCAAAAATATTTTCCATTCCTAGATATACTTGCTAGCCAAATTTCAAACTATTATAGTTTGAGTTTGTTTGTATCCAAATCCAAACTCTAAGCAAATTAATATCTTAAAAATTTTATCACTAATCTTTATTTAAATAAACAATATATTTATATAGTTATGTATAATATATCTGTAAATTTAAAGTGATTCCAATTTTTACAAATGCTATTTGTTTTTTTAGAGTTTGAATTTGTCCAGTATGTATATTTCTAGATAGAAGCTTACTATTTTATAATATTTTTAAAGCTTATAATAATTATTTTGCTTTATATAAATGGAAAATTACTAACTGATACTACATATTACTTAGAATTACATATAATATAAATATAATATTTATTGATTTTTGTTATATTAAAATTATATAGTAATTTCTATATGCATTTTTAAATTTTAAAATATTTAGATTATACATTATATGACATTATGTTTTGCATAATGTAATGTATATAATGCAGAATGCACATCATTAGTAATAAGACAGCAATGTTGCATGCTTTAAAGACTTAGTAGTCATGGTATATTTTTACTAGCATTGGCTAAAGTTATTAATAAGCAGAGGTAAGTGGATAGATACAGAAATTAGAATAGTTAAATAGAGAACCTACAAGCAGATTGCAGGTATAGCAGCTAGTATAAAACTTTTGAACAAACTACTTAAATTAGACAATGACTAAAGTTGTATGAGTGGCTAGTTGTATACTCTTTTTATAGTTGACTCTTGTAGTTGTAATACAACTATTAGCCAAATATATTATTAATAAAATTTTAGGTCACAAGTACTCATCTTAATATTTAAAAAAAACCAAATTGCTAGATATGCACTATATAAACTATATATAAAAAAAATATTATATAAATAACATATTACTAAGCATTTAATGTAAAATAACACAAATCACTAAAAGACAAATAAATTTTTAAAATCATATATAATATATAGAACTTTACTTATTATAAAACAATGTATTTTATTTCTTATATAAGTAAAAACAAAATATAACTTGGCTTTATTATATTTTATCAAATTTAATTTAAACAAATTACTTTTTTTTTTATAAAAATAAGTAACAAAAAAGAAAAATCTGTAAATTATTTTATTTATTATTGAGATATTGAGTAAAATAATTTACAGGTTTTCTTATTTTGTTACTTAAATTATATAATATATATTGAGAGTTCTAAATTAGCAAGTCTGTTGCTAATTGAAAGTTAGCTTTATGTAATTATTAAAAAGTTTTTTGTTGAATAAGATATGTAAATATGGCAAGTGATTTTGATTCAGATTTGGCTTATTCTAAATAGTCTATACTACATTAAGACTATCATTCTAATTCTTTTAACATTGCAGTATTCTTTACTATGTCAGAATATACTATACTAATAGAATGAAATTTATTACTATTTTGGCTTAGGTTTATTTTTTAATAATAGTTTTCTATAGTTATTCATAGAAGAATCCTTAATTTGTAGTTTATAAGATAGAGAAATTCTTTTTATTACTTGTGTAAATATATATATTATTTATAATTAATTTATCATTTATTTTTAAGATACCAATAATTATTATAATAATTATAATAATTATAATGCTTGTATTGATTATAATTATTATGAAACTATCACACTCTCTTTACTAATCTTTATTTCTAAAAAAGGCAAAATCATTTTTTCAAGATTTTATCAAAAAATTACATATTAAACACCTGTTACAAGTTTAGGAAAAAAGGTTCAGCACAAGAAATTACAGTTATCTGTTTATAACACTAAAGTTAAT